TCCTGTGAATCGATCCTTCCCTTAAGATTCATAACAGATGGTTAATGAGATGGGTGGACTCAGTACAAGGCTTGGGCAATCCTCCTCCCTTTGAGCTAGCTTTTGGGGTGTGAGTTAAGCCCAAGATCTAATTTAACGCCTCCATTTACAAGATCACTCTGTTGAACCAAAACCAAAACCTGTAACCAGGTAAAGCTTCCCTACCTATTACCCCATTCCAGTCCCACCCCACACAAAAAATAAAGAGGAAAAAAACATTTAAAACAGGAAAGGAAAAATAAATGGATTGGAGTAATTCAGAAAAAACTAGACTTAGGGTGTGTTTGGTTTGAGGAAAATGTTTTCAATCGGTCAAAATGTTTAGGAAAACATTTTCTCTAAGAAAAACAAGTTCCTTAAAATGAGGAAAATGACTTTCCTAATGAAAGTAGGGAAACAAGCTCCACAGTGACATTCCATGTTCATTGTCTCCTCCCCACCCACCCAATGCCCCCACCCCTCAACCATTCCAACCCCACTCCCCACCCATCTTAACCTCATAATATTATGCTAGATTACATATAAATGCTCTTGGGACAATATTATTTTGCTTACTTACCAAACACTAAGAAAAGTAAGACGAGCACTTATTTTCCATCATACCACAACTCACCCCTAGAATAGCTCCATGTAACTAAAAGGTATTATTTTTTAAGAAAAGTATAAGACCACACTTTTTATAAGATGGTATTTGTGACTACAATATAAACAGATAGATCACATATCCAACACAAGAGCAGCTATTGAACTCCATAGGAAATATATTTTATCTCTATACAACATCACAATTTCAAATGAGAGTGGCAACAGGAAAACATCATCTTACCTTTGCCCCATACCTTGCTTTTAACTCCATGTTGCCACCAGTGTGATCATGGTGATGATGTGTGTTCAAAATGTAAGTCAAATTACGGTTGTTTCTACTCAGTGCATCTATAACAGGAACAGCTTCAGAAGGATCCACAACACCAACTGTTCCAGTATCCACGTCATGCAATAGATATGCATAATTATCCTGGAGACATGGTACCTGACAATTGACAACAGAAAGATCAGCAAAACTCATCAGGGTTTCTCATTGTAGAGGTGGAGATCCTTGTTACAACATAAAGTCAAGAAGATGATTTCTTTTATGCTCTCGCATCCATAAAAAGAAAGCCACAGAAGAAAAGAAGTGGAAGAGAAGCAGAAAGGGCAGAAATTATTTTATTCTTTCTCAGCTAGTAAATCTCTCCGGCTTCCTGAAAATAAGACCCAACAAGCTTTAACATCTTCTCCACCCAAAATGGAAGTAGCATAGTACCATATTTTGAGTTGAGACTTATTTAATCATTTGATACTCTAGCAACACTAACGTAGGGGCATTTTGCCTTTTCTTTTTGTTGAGAAAGGTAACATGAAGAAACATTTTGCCTATTTATGGTAAAATTTAGACAAAAAGGATGTTATCCAGTACAAAAAAGAGAACACATCTGCATACCAGAGAATACAAAGCACTAAAAGAAAGGTATTCCCAGTCAAAAAGTTCATCCAATTGGAATGTCATGAGCGCTCCAAAAGTATAAATTAAATAATATTGAATCTGGAATAAGCTATAGTCCAAATTAGAGCATAGAGGAGCAGTTTTCCTAAGCCATAAGGTGAAGTCCTTTTGAAATACTCTACATGAGGCAACATACTCCCTGTTTTGTCCAACTAGGTGTAAGACTCAAAAAAGTCGATGAAATGCACAGAAAATTCCAGGATGATTAGGACAGTGTGTATTAAGTCTGTAAAGCTGACTATCATCAATCACTGTGATTTCAGGGTATACGGCCAGATTTTAGATACACAAAGGAAGATTAATACCACATCAAAAAGTCACCCCAGTCACACCGAGCGTCTTCATATAAAGTATCGTTTTTTGCTCATTACCATTTACTGCTAAACACATTCTTCTTTCTAAATGTACCCAACATTGAAATCAAGCAAGAAATGAACTTATTACAGGCTATGCGTATACTATTAAAATAAAGACACAACTTGCAGTATACATAAGAACCTAAAAAAGCACAATACTATAGACTCACCAGTTCGATTTGCAAAGATGAAGACGTACTGGTAATGCTACAGAGTTTAGAAACTCGAAGTGTTCGACTAACTCCACGTACAGTCTTGAATGGCATTGAAAGGAGCTGCATAAACCCATACAATAGATTCTTCCTAAGAGAAAGTTGCCTCATGTCAGGCCATACACAAACCCCTGTCCGGGACTAAGAAAATCCACAAATAGAATTAAATTAAATAGAAATGCAATCAAAAGACGAAGAATCTACACACTAATTAAAGCATCACATGAAACAAAGTATATTCCCCTTTTAAAACCCTAATTATGAATTGCATTAACTGAGTACCACGAGAAATCAGATCAAAATTAATACACAACTTAGGAAAAAATATCATTTAAGAAATCTCAAACAGTCTCAACATCGTAATCATCTAAACAGTATAGTAATCATCGAAAAGCTAATTAACCAGTAAAAAACAGTTGAACAGTTGATGAAGACTTCACATCAATTTCACAACCAGCAAGAATACACATGAATTCAGATTTAGGTACATCAAAAAGCACAAAGGCTTAGCGAATCAATCAGATTCTCAAATTTACTTCGAATTTCCTCGCAAACCGCAGAATAATTCAAAAAAAAATACCGAAAAAATCGAGAAAAAAAATCTCTAGTATAATTCAGACTATTTAGAGTAGTAGAGAAAGAGTATGCATAGACAAAACGGAGAAGAAAAACCTTAGAACAAGGGAAGGAAGCCATGGCGGAAGGTGCAATTTTAGAGAAAGTTCGCATAATTTAGCATTTGCAGTTTTGTTTTGTAAAGAGATGTGTAGAGGACGGCAATGGTGGGTTGGCACACAGTTTCACACGCAGATTGTTTTCGCCTTTTCGGACTCTTTATTAATTAGTCCTATCTCACTTCTATTAACATAAAACACTATACTTAATTAATTAATTATTAGGAGTATCACATCAAGGCATAAAAGATATTTTTTTTAAAAAATAGAATATGCTATGTTTTCTATACTTAGTGCAAGTCACATTAGAATGTCGATAAATAAAAAATAATCAATTTTAAATTTTCTATTTTGCTCTTCAATTGGATTTTTTTGAAAATATAATTATATTGTGAAGTTGTAAAAAAAGTTTCATCATTATTAATTTTGATATTAATGGATAAGACCCATAAATATAGAACATGAACTAGTGATTATTAAAGTAATTGAGAGTCATGAGGTCAAGTTAAAATTTCAACCAAAAAAACACTAGGTGATTTAGGTACAAAATTATCTTTTACTTGTTGTTAATAGGAAGTGTGAGATATTTCGTGAAATTATCAAGTTACAAAAAGTCTTACTTAAATATCATAATTATATAAAAATAAAAAATCTCCCAAAAATCTTGATATTATTTTTTGTGAAAGTAACTCCAAATAGATCGACAAAGAGAAAACAAAATTTAAACATATAGAGTGATTATTCAAATCACACCAAGTCAATAATAATGTCGTTTTCGAGATCTTTTAAAAAATTCAAGTGAAAAAAATCTGATTATAGATTCTATATTTTAAACATAAAAAGTCAGAAAGAGCCTAAATATTTTAGCACCAATAAAAAGATTATGAAATTTTGAGTTTAAATTATATATAAAAAAAATAGATAATGTTTAATTTATTTATTATTTTAGTTTGATGAATAAAGTTATTCTCCTTATGTACAAGTTTGAGGTAATATAGGGCTCTTCCTTAATATGAGATTTTTTTATGCAAATTTAATTTAGTTTTAATGTAGATATCGAATGTCGAAATATATATATGACCTGGAAAGAACAATAACATTAATTGTTGCTTACTAAAAAGATTGTGGTAGAGTGGTAAGCATTCATTTATCCTTAATCGAGAGATCTCGAATTCAAGTCTCCTTAGGTATGAAATCACCTTTGTTAGAAAGTATTTTATTCCAATATGAGATTTTTCAGCGTGAATTTAAATTTAATCGGGCTCCAATATTGATACCGGACACAGGTGGGAAACAAAAGAAGAAGTTTGTATGAGTATTTGGTGAAGGTACACGTGGGACTATAATTACCTCGAATATGGAGCAATGGTACTCTTTAGAGTCATGTTCAAGTGGGACCAACCATGAAGACGTGTCTCCATTAACCTAGGCAACGCAATGAAGGCATCATTAAACATGAAAAAAATTGAAGGAGACACAATTCTTTGGATCAACTTATTTTATGTACTTTAAAATAAAACAACATGATTTTTGAAATATAATAAAACCAACCTAAAAATTTGTGCAACTATTACTTTTATTAAGAGTAAAAAAAATATTTAAGCTAATTTTTCAATTATAAAAAGATAATAGTAAATTTAAAAAATGATATGCCACATAAATGAAAGTAGAAAGAATATTAAAAGGAAAATACATAAAAATCCCTCTGAACTTCATGAAACTTACTTTAGTACTTAAATTAAACGGGTGTTTATATACCCCTTAATATATTTGATGTGAATTATTTTCAACCCTCTGAACACCAGCCCAGTTAAAGGCTGGGCATTGTTACACACTCGTGTTTTCATTGGTCTACGTCGCTAAGGGTTTAAAAAATATCTTACCCGTTTTATATAACCCACGCCTTCCTAAAATACAACCCAACTCATTTCTAAACAAATATCCCTAAATCTCTAAGCTCGATTCTTATTCTCTCAAATCTACAAGACCTAATTTGAAGATTTTTCTTTCGTTAGAGTGAAGGATTTGCTGAGTTTAGGGTTTTCGTGAAGAAACAAAGGATTTGCGTGAAGAAACAAAGTTACCAGGTTAGTAATCTTCGTTTAGATGATTGTAGCATTTGACCGAGTTTAGGACTTTTGTAAAGCTTAGTTTTTTTTATCTTTTCAGTTTGACGATGGATGTGTATGTTACCTTAAGGTTTCACCATGGTGGAAAACTACAACAAAAACCTCGTATTAAGTATGAAGGTGGTATTGTCATTGATTGTTTTGATGTAGATGTTGATAAATTGTCCTACTTTGAATTTGTTGACATAGTTAAAGAAATTGGCTATAATTGTTCTGCTTGTGTTGTTTATATTAAACCACCTAAATGTCGACATGTTGTTGAAGTTAAAAGTGATAGGGATATTATGGGTATTGTACCTCAATTAAAAAGTGGAGATATTGTTGAATTTTATGTGACTCATTTAGTTGAAGAAGTTGTTGCCCCCCCCCCACCCCCGAAATTGAATATCTAAATGATGTGGGTGGGAAATCTAATGCTACTTTTGATAAGGAATCTAGTCAAACTTTTGAGGGTAGTGAAGGTTTAGGGTTTGAAGAGGCTGCACAACCTGAAGAACCTATTGTGGGTGAAGAGTTACGTGAAGTGTTGGGTAGGACTTCTGCTAGTGCTGGAGAGGACTTGGGTAGGGCTTCTGCTGGTGTTGGAGAGGACTTGGGTAGGACTTATGTTAGTGTTGGAGAAGACTTGGGTGGTACTTCTTTTGCTGTTAATGCATCTGATATTCCAGAAGTTGGGTCTGATTGGGAAAGTGAAACAGAAGCAAGTGATGATTCAGACAATGCAAATTTGTCTTATAAATGAGAAAATGAGTATGGTAGTGATGTTCACGAGGAGGTTATATATCTTAGGAAAGAGAAAAGGACTGCTAAAATAAAAAGTAAAAAAGGGCCCTAGATCTGAAGGAGTTGATTTAGGAAAAAAAGAGTTGATTTGGGATATGATGAATATTTATCCAAGAAACAAACTACTTTTGAGGGTAAGATAGTTGGAGATGAGACCTACTTTGATTCAGATAAAGCTGTTAGTTTTGATTTAAATATTGATGAAGATGTTAGTGAGGAAGATAAGGTTGAACAACCTATAAGAAGACAAAGAAGAGCAAAAATAAATTTTTTAAAAAGTTCTATTTGATCCTACCTGTCAGTTAATAGTTTGGGAGACTGTCTTGCTTTTGAAAGTGTTAAGCAGTTTAGAGAAGCTATTACTAGATATGCAGTTCAAGAACATGTTGAATTAGATAAATATGTTAATGATGCAACTAGGGTGAGGGTAAAGTGTATAGCTGGTGGTCCATGGTTGTTGTTTGGAAGTATTGATTCAAAAACAGGAGATTTTGTGGTGAAGAATTATAATCCAGTACATATTTATGGCACAACCAAAAATAAATTGGTGAATTTAAAGTACTTATCAGAAAGGTACAAGGACAGAACTATTTTTTAGCCTGGCATTAGAGTTTTTCAGTTTCAAATTTTAGTGAAGAAAAAGTTGAATGTGTATGTGGGGAGGACTGTAGCAAGGAAAGCTAGAAACATTACGTTGAAACAAATTATGGGTGATCATGTGGAGGAGTTTAAAAGAATTTTAGATTATAGAGATGAGCTCTTAAGGACTAATCCAGGCAGCACATGTGTGGTGAGACTTAGTGAAGAAACTTTTGAAGGTGGCAGACAAATGTTTCAATCATTTTACATATATTTTGATGCTTTAAAGAAGGCTTTCAAAGTTGGAGCTAGAAGATGTATAGGATTTGATGGTTGCTTCTTGAAAGGTGTTTCTAGAGGTCAATTACTTGTGGTTGTTTGTAAGGATGAGAACAACTAAATGCTACCACTAGCATGGGCAGTTGTTGAGGTTGAAAACACATTCACTAGAAAATGGTTTATCAAGCTTGTAATACATGATCTTGAGCTAGGAGATGGAACAGAATTGACAACCATTACTGGTATGCAGAAGGTATTTTTATTTTCTTTTTCATTTATTCATTAAGTTAGATCTCATGTTATTCTAAATGTTGTTAAAGGGTCTTGACAAAGCTATTCAAGATCTTCTGCCAAATGCAGAACAAAGAATGTGTGCAAGACATGTTCTAGCCAACTGGTCTAAGAATTGGAAAGGCATTGAAAGAAGAAACTGTTTTTGGAGATGTGTCAAATCTACATATGAAAAAGAATTGACAAGAAATTTGGATCATATGGAGAAGGTAGGCACTGGAATATGTGATGACTTATTGTGGTACAGTATAAAAAGGTGGTCTAAATTATACTTTAAGTTTTTTAGCTGTTGTGATAGTGTTGACAATAAGAAAGCTTTAATTCATGAATTTTGGGGCCAAGACATAAAACTATCATCACAATGCTTGAAGAAATAAGGATCAAAGTGATGAGAAGAATAGGACAATTGAGGGAGTTTTGTGATACTTAGATAACAGACATATCTCCAATAGCCCTAAAGGTATTGACGAAGAACACAACAAAGTCAATGAAGTGTAACCTTTAATGGAATGGTGAATATGGTTTTGAGGTTAAAGACAGTTGAGGTAACACATTTGTTGTGAATCTAGGCAATCAAACATGTACTTGTAGATCTTGGATGCTAAGAGGTATACCTTGTTGCCAAGCTATAGTTGCACTTCATTTTAGAAAATTGGAGCCCATTAACCATGGTGCACATGTTGGTATAACAAGGAGACTTATCTCAAAGTCTATAGTCACTACATTCAATCAGTTACTAACATGGAAATGTGGCCACAGTCGACCGACCCTTCTGTTATATCACCTGTTATAAAAACACTACCATGAAGGCCTAGAAAGTGTAGGAGAAAGGAGCAGAATGAAAACAAAACAGGAAAATTATCCAAGAAAGATGTTGAGATGACTTGCAGTTTTTGTCATGCAAAGGGTCATAATAAGAGGGGTTGTCATTTGAATAATCAAGCTAATTCAGGCAAATGAAGAGAGACTAGTTCAACAAGGTCAAGTGTTGGTTCTTCTACATCACCAACTGAATCACAATCAAGCACAAAGAGATGAAGAGGTCGACCAAGAGGTTCTACAAAACATGTCATGTTTATAGTAATTCATTTAGTTGTTAATTTACATTTTAATCAGTCTAATATTTTTGTTGATCAACTTATGTTATAGGCTAGTGCTATTGAAAGGGGAAGAGGAACTACAACTGGTAATGGAACAAGAATTGGTGTTGTTGATGGTTCTGGTGCCACTGGAAGGGGAAGAGGAACTGGAACTGGTTTAGTTGGAAGGGGAAGAGGAACTAGTTTAGCTGGAAGGGGAAGAGGAACTGCAACTGGTGTAGCTGGAAGGGGAAGAGGAACTGGTGTAGCTGCTACTACTACTAATGTTCCTGGTGCTACTGGAGGAGGGAAGAGGCCAAGAATGGTTGGAATGGGGATACTACATACACATAGTGGTTTTACAATCCATAATGTAAGTTGTCTTAATTATTTACACACTTTTCAATTTTAACTTATGAAGCATCTAAGACAACATATTTTTGTGAATCTAGCCTGGAATGCCTATGAACTCTTCAATAGTGACTGAATATCTTGGGCATCACAAACCAAGATCGGGCTTAAAATGAAAAGGAAAGGTTGTTGTAACTCAACAAGGTCTTCAAAAGATGAGAGAAAACAAAAGAATGAGAACAAGGTCCAATGTTGCTAGAGTTTGATATGAAGACTGCTTTAGTTTGATATTTTAGCTGTTTTTGAAATAATTATGCAGTTGTGACTGCTTTAGTTTGATATTTTAGCTGTTTTTGGAATAATTATACAGCTGTGACTGGTTTAGTTTGATATTTTAGCTGTTTTGAAACAATTATGCAGTTGTGACTGCATTAGTTTGATTTGTTTGTTTTTTAAACAATTATGTTGCAGTTGTGACTGCATTAGTTTGATCTGTTTATTTTTGAAAAAATTATGTTGCAGCTGTGACTGCATTAGTTTGATCTATATTTGTTTTTGAAACAATTATGCAGTTGTGACTGCATTAGTTTGATATTTTAGCTGTCTCTTTTTGAAACAATTATGCAACCAGTTTTGCATTACTTTTATGTGTACAATTATGCAGTTATGACTACAATTTAGTGAATGCAATGGTAAATAAAACACAAACGAAATACACAAACCAACAAATTACATTAAGCGAATAAGAAGAACACACAGTTCATTACAAAAAAGTTTTGCACCTAATTGATTACGACATAAACAGTGCTACACTACACCAACATTGATCTCACTACATCAAGAGCTTAAGGTAACTTCATTGAACCTTTCTTCATATATATCACCCAGAACCAATAGCTTATAGCTATAACCACAACACAACAACAAGCTACAACAAAAAAGAGCACATTATGTCATGTTCTTCTCCATTTATTCTGCATTACTTTCAGCTTCTCAACCTCTTCTTGCAACATTTTCAATTTCATACCTAGACAATCATCACTTTGTTTGAAATTTCCCGGCTTGTCAACTTCTGCAGTAACCTCAACCAATTCAAATGCAGTGGCTGAGGTTTGAGAGGATTCTACTATATTCTCAAGCTCACCCAATTTCTGTATTAGTTTAGGAGTCACAAATTTCGACCTCGGATCAATATTTTCTTTATCCTTTCAACACCAAAAGTTACAAGATCTAGGACCCTTCAATAATGAAAAAGGATGAAGGAATTAGTGGTTAAACAAATTCTTAATCGGCCAAAAAATTAAACAAAAATGATCTTTATCCATAATAAGGACATGACCAATATCTTCTTGCGGGGCTATTTGAAGTCCAAGATGTTTTCAAACTCACCACAAGTCCATGATTACAATAAACTTTTTTCTTCATAGTATAATCATCTTCTTCCATGCAAAGATTTGTCAAATTAATTGATCGTATTGTGTGCTACAATTTTGTGCAAGAAGTAACGAGAATCTGGAAAAAACAAATAATAAGAAAAAGGGAGGAAAGAAAATCAAACTAATAGATGAAGAAGAATAGGTTTGAATCTTACATTTTGAAGAACAATTATTCCTTCAAAGATTCAACTTTTAGGTTTGAAGAGCTAAGATTTGAGAAAAATCAAGAAAAAAATAATGAATTAGGTCACTATTTTTGGATGATTGGGTTGGTGAGGGAGAAGAGGAAATTCGGGTTCTTTAAAAGTGAAGATGGATCTTCAAATACGTAATGGGTCGGATATTATCGTTGGAGGGTCAAATTTTATTTTTTTAAAATGTTAAAAGATGAATTACGCGCCGTTCCAAGTTGTATCAACACTTGCACAAGGCTGGTGTTCGGAGGGTTGAAAATAATTCACATCAAATATGTTAAAGGGGGTATATAAACACCCGTGTAGTTTAAGTACTAAAGTAAATTTTCGTGTCAAGTTCAGGGGGTTTTATGTATTTTCCGAATATTAAACTATATTTTGCTAAAACAATATATGCACTATGTGTGGAAGGTTAGATATTTAAAAGATTTGTTTGGAAGAGATAAGAAAGAGATTAGTTATTGAAATAAAAATTGAGAAAAATTTATAAAATATTAGAGATGTACATTATATTGTTCAGCTAAATTTTGTTATTGTGTAATAATGCTAAACAAAATGGTATCATAATTTTGACGCAATTGTATCATTGATAAAATTCAGGTTATTTTCACTAAATGCACATTTTTTTAACTTATGTGAATAATTAAAATAATAATATGACCAATTATATTAATTTACGGGATTTACACAATTGGTTTGTCATATAACTGTAAATGAGACATCGGTAATAATTTGTCCCAGAAAATTTTTTGATGATTTTTATTTACTTTGTTGACTTCATTTCCTTCTTGTTTATTGGGGGTTGTGGATTGAACTATCAGAGTTGGTCTATTGTTGTGGTGTATCAACATTCAAGTTCTGATGCAACATTTTTGGGATATGAAACGATACATGCAATTTTTTTTTTACCCCTCCTAGGAGCTCCCTCCTTTTTGCTCCCTTCGTGACTCGAACTCAAAAATTTTGGGTTGAAAATGAGGGATTCTTATCATCCAAGCAACACACCCTCTTATCTAATACATGATGTATCATGATACATTTTCGATACATTACACAATGATTCATTTACCTAATATGGATAATCACGAAATGTGAATTTAGGGAAATATCTGACTAGAAATTAAAGAAATTAAAAGTAAATTTTGTTAAATTAGTGGAGTCACGACAGAGAGAAATATAGATAGTATAGATGAGAGAAAAAAAAAAGTCAAATACAACATCTAATTATGCTTGAGACAGAAAATTGGGTATAACCATGTAAAATTATTATTAAAATAAATATCATAGCTTTGTTAGGTGATTATTTTAAGGAAAAATTACTTAAATACACATTTTATTTTTATCATAATCTCTAAAATTTTCAACCACCCTCTCAATGATACATCCCTATCTCCTCCTCGGATACATCTATCCCCTCTTTGATACATCTCTTCCCTCTTTGATAAATCTCTCCTCTATGTGTTAGAATGTCTTATTCCCTCTCGGATACATCCCTCTCCTCTCGGATACATCCCTCCCATATGTGTATCTGGAAGTCTGTTGATTTATCTGGAAGTCCAGTGATGTATTCAGAATCCATAAATTTTAAGGGATTCTTATAATTTTAAAAAATAGTAGGAAAATAATGTAAGGAAAAATCACTCCACATATATATTTAAGAGACAATATTATGGATTTTAAAGCTACTTTTAAAATATTCTGACTTATAACAGTTTAATTACGGGTTTTAACAGATCACATTTTATTTAAAAATCAATTAAATTTTTACTT